GTTACTAATGTATTCGTCAAACCCATTCTCTAATTAATTGAATGAGTCGCAAAGCATGACGGTCTACTACGTGTTTACGATTCAATAGCGACATGTGCTTTTCGTCAGTTTACTGCATAATATTTACTTGGTCACCGGAAAAACCGTAAAGCTTCTTTTTTACTTTATAAGGCTGAAATTGAAAGATTGTATTCCGAAGACACTGTTTCATGCTCACATTTGATATTTGAGTTGCTTTAGATGATTAATTATAATAGTTGCTTCAAATACCGTACAAACGCTTTGATGTTTGAGTGTACATAAAAAATTTTGATGATATCGAGGAGTAAAATAATAATTGCGCACCTTGTACTGCTGTCTAAAACTATGTACATGTATATCACGTGAAAAAACCCACACCCAATGCTTTATCGACACAGTAGCACCTGCGTCTCTGTGACAGTGGTGAACAATGGTGTACGCCGATGTATTATAAGTTGATATAAGGCTTCATGAAGCAAATTTTGTAAATGTGAGCATAGAAATGTAAAGATTATGCATCGCTTTCAATATTTTTCTTATAAATATCAAAAAAGAATTAAGAATGAGTTTCCAAGGGACAATTCAAGTTGCCCTTTATTTTCAACGCAACTGAGTTCGTATTGATACTTGTACATGTAGTAGCCCATAACGCATTGCGACTCATTCAACAGTCGGTAAAGTAAACAGATAGCTAATTTACATGCAAATTTTTGCTAACGTCAGAAAATCTAGTGGTCTCGACTTGATTAAAAAATATCAGTTGATTTTCTAATCTTTAAGCCAAAATATGATTTTTGCATTGATAAAATAGGGAAAATCCACTATGGAGAGAAAAAGGAGGAAATTTGGCTCCAGTCTGAGATTTCCCCATGGCAAGAAGTTGTACTCTACTATATTCCAGGTGAATTACTTCTTTAGGCGCATAATGGAAGATGAAAAAAGTTGATTCCATCACGTTAATCACGTTCTCATTTAGAAGCTTTTTTGTAAAAAATGAAATGAATATAAAATAGTTCTGCCTATAAAGGGGCGCAATGAGTACCCATGGAAATTCTAACAGATTTTTAGGAGATTCAAAAACTACATATTGTCAGAAAGTCAAGCATCTTCTTAATATCATCTTTGGAGTACTTGTGTGTACAATCAAAATTATTCTGCAAATGACCAATGACAAGGTAAATAAATTTACGAGTTCCATTTTTATTGAAAAAAGCAGCTGTCTATGTTGTCAAACAAGCTGAACTTTTATCTATCGTGGGGAATGGTTGTGTTAAGTGTAGAAAAGTCGTACGTTTTGATGTTATTGATTTTAGTAAAATTTTGTGATTTCAAATTTTGTAAACGTTCTTTCGAGTTTTGAAGTATTCACATCTGCTTTACACCAATTCTCGAATATATTGTTGTACAGTACTTTAGTTGAAGTTTTTCCTTCACTACTTTTTAGTGAGGGGTAGAGAATCGAAAGAGGTTTGGTAGAACATTTATAGGAACCCGCTATGTATCTTCGTAAGAATTTTTATGTAGTTTAGGAATCCAGTTTAAATATGGTAATTCAAATTCAATATGATTGTTGGGAATATTTAAAATATGTAAAACTGAAAAATGATTTTGAAGAATTCCTTCTTAGAAATGGATTTGTAGGTATAAGTTAGATAACAACTTGCAGAATGAAATCCCAGCTCTTCTAAAATACAATTAGAATAATAAGCCTTACAAACAAAGACACTGTTTTACCTGCTTTGTCAGCTAGGATCAGTACATATTAATCGTGTAATCTAATTCTTTTTTCTCTTCTAAATCATTGAGGACAGTAGGATAGATCGTTTTCATATTACCCCCCAATCGCTTAATACGAAATTTCAATATCCATCTGATACTTTTAATCCATTCTGACAAATTGTCAAGGTCTTTTTTGTAATATTTGGCCCATCGTCTGGCATAATCTTCAACAGAATCCATTTTTATGAAATTATGACGCCAAAAATTATGACAGCATTTCCCGCAATAATGGGAAATACGAATATTTCCCGTTTTATTTTTGCCAGTCCTGATATAAACATGTGCAGAAAAAAAACCCTTTAATTTGAAAATAACAATCGTTTTTTTTATTTTGATAATTTACAAGAACAATATGATAATACATCATTATCTTAAAACAGATAATAAACATGCGATCATTATTTCCTTAATATCTTGAAATTATACATATTGTTTGAAAAGCAATGATACCGAGGTGTACAATAATTACACAACTATGAAACCAAGTGTCATCCTTGATCCAAAAGGACCCCTCTTAATAAAAAACATGCAGGAAACAATATACGAAATAATGTACTCAATCCATTACTTTAAACACACAAAAATACTGAAACAAAAATGACGAACTGACTAGATAAAAAGAATGTCGACGTCGTATAGTCAGTTTTATTCGCAGAACACTTATTAAATACACACTTATTATTAATAATTTTTTGTGTAAAAATTAATGTGGTTGCCAATTACACTGAAGTAAGTAATGAAATAACTTGTCAACATTATTTGATATTTTGCTGTGAAATTCGCTACAAGTATTCATGATCGTACAAGTGATATGTAGCTTGTTAATTTGATCATATTTTTGTCATTTCGTTGGTTTTGGGTTGTAATGTAATCTGTTTTAATATTATCTTCTCCTTCGCAATACTGAGTATATGGGAAATATAATTATATTGTTCCAGCCATCGCGGTATCTTGTCTATTATAGAAAAATAAATGAATTCGGAAATGAATCTGAAACACTTGACTGGAATGAGCTTTTGTCCATTACCTCAAGTGTATCATGTTTTGATTTAATGTACAATTTCAGGAATTTCAAATCGTCTCCTGATTATACTTTTAAAACTCATAAAAATGTTCAAAATTTCGGCTTGACATTACTAACGTGTATCATGACGATAGACCACATCGCAAAGGTAAGTTTCATTGAGCATCATTATAAATTAAATCTGATTCAAGAGTTTTGGCCTCTCCAGATCTTCATTAGAAATTAAATGTAGAATTATCAATTTTAACGCAATTTAACAGTTGAATAAATTCTTATCTGAGGCATTATCCTTAAATTGTAAAGAATAGTTTGTATATGGAGTTATGAACTTTTGAAAAATACCTTATTAATCCTCTGCTTACCCATCAAGGGAAAGAAAGGAAAAGGGTGGAAATAAGAAACTACTTAAATGCCAGTTCCAAACGTAAACAAGAAACAGAAATAAGAAACATTGGAGGATCACAGTGAATCTGAAGACGACAAACAGAGATAGAGAACAATTCCCCAGATAGGGTGGTTGAAAAAAAAATTATGGTATAGAAAGTGGTAAAACGGTTCACGACATGCGAAACCAATGGTTAAGGAGCCCATACAGCACGGGTGGATCAAAGGGAGCAGTTCCTCAAATGTTCATGTCAGCTGTTCGATACCGAAAATTTCCGGAATCCGGAAAGATAATCGTGTTTCATGTACAATGTACGACAAAAATAATTTTATTTTAACAAATTGAGGGAAACATTTATAACGCGGAAAAATTGATTATTTCAGTAAATAGTAACAGGGCACTTTTTCAGCCAAATAGAAATTTAAACTAACATTGATGACGAAAATGAAGGGGTCCAGTCATTGTTTAGGTGTAGAGCATCAGTTGATAAGATTTATCAGTTTATAAAAGGGTTAGTCAAAAGAATAATACGGACAAATAATTTCTTGATTGGATGTCACGTACGGAAAAGTGTAAAAGACTTTGAAAGGATGTTATAAAGAAATGCAAATGATTTCAGTCCCTAAATTTAATTCACCGAAGACCGAACTTTTTGAATTCGTATGTTGAATTTTTTTTAAATTAACAACAATAAACACATTCAATCCGTCGTTTGTTGTTCAATTCTATTAAATGTTGATGAACTGCTTTAAGGACATGTGTGAGGGCCTTTCAAAATTACGCAGGCTAGCTGCACAGAAAAAAATATTTGACCTTATAATCAAGCAAAAGTCACACATAATATAGAAGAATCTTTACTTATATGGTCATCAAAATAAGTTTATACATATAAAATTCCAGGCTTGTAAAAAAGGTCACATTTAACGACGATGTCACTATTTTTTTATTAAATATAACCTAAGTCATTGTAAATTGATATTAATTTTTGGTGATTTAACAGGACATATCAAGAAGTCACAAATCGTAAATTCTTGGACGTCTAGGGCATTATAAGGAATGCAAGCTTTCATTTTCTAAACATTTTCGCTCAGTTTTTGACGTCTGTAAGAGAAAATAATAGTAAATTTTGAAAAGCCCTCGTATTATTAAGTTTTCAAACTGACGACTAAGGCTAGAAATGGGGAATAGGTAATGTCTACCCCAATAAATTTACTTATACCCTATGTCCCATTTCATATATCAATATAAAGTAGAGACTTAGTGCTTTCATTTCCTATTTAAAAAGTTTTCCTTTGAGAAAAAAGGCGTTTGAAAACAGGCTTTGTGAAGTTGCATTGTTCTTGCATTTTGCAGAAAACAGGTGTATTTGAGTAACTTCAGCAAAGCATAAATAAATGAACACAACTCTTGATCCAAAAAATAAAATATGCTCTATAAACTTCAGACAGTTCTATAAAAATATTCCTGCACACTTTGGATCAGAGGCTGTGTTGTGTTCAATTAATTGAAAAACAGCTTTAAATTCTGACCATTTTTGAAGGAATTTTCAGAATCTGGGTATTATGACGCAATTCATGACGTCATAATGCATGTTCTAGTGCGAAAAGTACGTCATTTCAAAGGAAATACAATCATCAAGGGTCCAAGTGATGTTTGATGCATTGTCAAATAAAATTGAGCAGTTTTGATTTTTCAGAAATTCACAGGATCAAGGAAGCCTTAAGTGAACCTCGCTTATATTTTTTTTAGATGTTCAAATGGTGTCGTGTTTTAAGCAAGTGCTTTCGCTTTTCAAATTTTCAATTGAACCTTGTTAGTCAGTATTCTGCTGTTTGGCCCGCTGGCATAACAGCAATGAATAAATCATGTTTTGGTTACTGTTAAACAAATACAACCCTGCTTTGCGTTGTACGAAGATCCTAGCAGTAATGATCAGTGTTGTAGCAATCAAGTAAGTCTATATCTGTTGTTCCTTGCTTTAAAGATGGAGACACACTGCGAACTTTAGAAAACTTCTTCTTTGTCATTCCTGATGTAGATTGTGATTGACTTTCCTTTCTTACCATTCCCAGAAGCCAATATGTGAACATCTGACCTTTTCCCTAAATAAAGAAAGAAACGTCACTTGGATAACCATAGAGCATTCTATCTGAACTCTTTGTATAAAAAAAAGAAAGTACAAATTTAAGAAAATCTAACCAATAAAACCAAAGAATGATTTTCACATTTTGACATTAATGTTTAAAACGTCTAAAGAATCTTAGAAAAGCGCCATGGCAAAAGCTTACATTTAGTAGAAGGTATAGTTATAACAAATTTAAAACAATTCCGAAAACAGACAAAAAAAAAGCCCGAAATGAAAGAAGAGGCCCAGGACGCACGTTTCTTTTGCTGTTCTTTGAATAGACATGAATTTTAGTAGATTTTTTCTTTGTTTTTACTTTTATAAAAAAAATTGCCTCTATACGGTGGCACCACCTTAGCTCCAAAGGATCATGACTTATCAAAATTTGAATCAACATAACATGTGGATGCTTCATATATACAGGAAGAGCGTGGCCTTGTTCCGGAAATATTTTAATTGTTTTCTTCCAAATTACGTTTATTACGTAAAAAAAATCGTTCCCGATTTCGGCCCCATCCTAACCTAAAGATGCATAATTTTAAAAACAATCAATATTTTGAAAAAAGAGATTTTCTACACATTTTGGGGTGTTTGCGTATCTTAAATATGTATAGCGGCTTTACTACTCTTGAAAAGATTTTTGTGTAAATTCCGTATTATCAGTTTTCAAACTTTGTTCTCTCCTGCACCTGAGGCCATGATTTGAACAAACTTGAATCTGAATCTAAATGCTTGCATATTCAGATGACTAATATGAATATTGCTCATCTTGAAAAAAAAAGAAATTCGATTTAAAAAAAAATAAATTAAAAATTAAAACGTCTTTGCAGAGGAGATTTCAACACCTCTAGCAAGAGAGGCGTTTAAGTAATTTAAGATAGTTTGTGTCTAGTCCGGCTAATTTCTATGGAAACTCGTGGTACTTATGAATTGTATTTGGACGTTGTTTTAAAAAATAAATAAGGTTAAAGATGACCAATGTCAAGGTATACAAATTTATGACTTCCATTTTTATTAATCGAGAAGCAGTTGTGTATGATGTCAAAAAAAGCCTGGTCTTTAATTTACCGTGGGGAATGGTTGTATAAAATGTTGCAAATAAAGTCGCACGTTTTGATGCTATTGAGTTTTGCTAAATTTGGTTTCTTTAAATTTTCCAAAAGTTCCTTGGAGTTTAAAAGTACCCACATCTCAGTAATACCATTTATCGAATTTATTGTTCTTATGAATTTGTTTCCTTCTGTGGTGATAATATTTTCGTGTGTTGTAAAGAGAAGTAGGATATTAACTACAACCCACTATGTATCTTTGTAAGGATATATAGATGTTTAGGAATCCATCATAAGTATTGTAATTCAAATTCAATTTGGTTGATGAAGACTATTTACTTATGTAGACATACATGTGGAGTATATCAAAGAGACTTGTTAATAATAATGCATTAGCGAGCAAGCCATTATGAAAAAATCTTTAAATATACAAGGTACATAAAAATGATATACCTATTGATAATTGCAGAACTCTTTATACCTTGATATCTATGAATCCCCTTTCAGCAATATTATACCCTCCTAAGTCAGCCAAAGCACTCCTTGTCATGCCAGTAATATGTATTTTTCCGCCTTGAAAAAATATAACATCCTCTTTGGCAAGTTTGTACATTAACGTATGTCTTCATCAAACTTTATCAAAACTATTATAGATTTCTAAGACATAGCCTCTAAGAGTGGTATTTGCCATGAATTCAAATAATAATAATTGACTCCAGTATTTAAAGAAAAAACTTTTTTTCAAAGTAATGAGAAGATTGAAGAGTTAGAACCGCTTTAACACCTTCTCCGTATGTTTCCATCCTGGATGCAGTGTTGACCGTGTCTCCAAATAGACAGTATCTAGGCATTGTGTGTCCAACTACACCTGAAAGGTATTACAGTCGAGTATCGTTAATCCGGAAATTTGTGATCCCGATCAAATTGTCCGGATTAGTGAAGCGTACTGATTACTAAAAAACATAATCATGGTATATTTGAATATAAATTGGCCTCTATAATTTCCATCAATAACAAGCTTTAGCAAAAAAAAAAAGGTCTCGGATCCGGAATTTTGAAAGGCTGTCGACACTTTACATAATCATATATTTTTACTAGACACCATGTTTTGAACAAAGAATTACATATAGATAGGATCTCCCATGGTGTGTGGTTGGATATGAATTTTTTATCCAACGCCTTGTGTGTTTTGGCGAGGTGATAGAAACACAAAACGAGTTGGATAAAAAATCATAACTGACCATAAACCTTGGGAGATTCTTTTTATCACATTTTTGCACATGGCCACCATATGTTTTACTCTTATAAGCCATTGTTACGTCACGACTGTGAATATGAAAACTATATTCTATGACCTATATCCACTGTATAAAGGAGTAAATATGTGATAAACTGTTTTACAGATTCATTAATATAAAATTGGTCACCATTGCTTCGTCTTACCAAAGAGTTCATGATGAAAGTTTTAATTACAATGACATTGCCTTTCCATATCGGAAAAGATCATTTATGATCATGTCCAGCTTGTCTGATATGAGTAGCCATATCCTTATTGATTATTGGTCTACAAGAATGGTCGGTGTATTGTTACAAATTGTCTAGTTACAGGCGGAGCCATATGAGTTTCAATTTCCGGATCTCTCAGCATGTAGTGTTTAATTAGTACAAGAAGTTGACTGCTGTTAGTATCGTATAAGGATGAAGGTGCACTAAAACATTTACAAACCAGATTCACAATCTTTATAAAATGAAAGAATGTAAATACATTTATAAACGTCTACTGAATATTATTTCACATTAATAATTACCTGGTTGTAAATTATACTCTTAATTGTGTTACGCTTTGCACCTTTTTGATGGAGAATAACTTCTAACTACTAATAATATACACAGTTATAATCATTATAGAAGATAGATCACAGAATTATATATATTTGATGAAATGAGAAAGACCTGCACACACTGGCCCTGTATGTAGTCCAATTCGAACCATGACTTTTTGTTCAGGAATAGCCCTCATTCTGTAGAACTGGAGGCTTGTCAATATTGACAAGGACATACTGGCTATCTCCCCGCTATGTCTGCTGCCATTATCTTTTGGCAAACCGCTTACAACCATGTAGGCGTCACCGATTGTTTCTACCTGCATTGAAAATTTGATTTAAGTTAATAAAAAGAAGTTGCATGAAATTGACAATAATCTTGAATTAGTATGTTTTATGAAAACTAATCAAAGAAATGATTATTCCTCAGAAGAAATGAGGTAAAAATCACAGGATGTTTTGATATCACAGAAAAAGGTTTAATACCTTATAAACGTCATATCTGGAAATAACGTCATCAAATAATGTGTAAACATCATTGAGGAAGTCAACAACGTCCAGAGGAGACAGTTTAGCTGCAATTGTGGTAAACCCCACAATATCAGAAAAGAATATGGTAACAGCCTCAAACGCTTCTGGGAGAACCACTTCTCCTCTCTTCAATTTATCAGCAACTAATCTTTAATGAAATAATACATCTAATAGATTTTAACTCTTCGATCGATCGAGAGAGAGAGAGAGAGACTTCAACATCAAACAAATCTCGTTGAAATACTAGATTACACTGATTTCACTGATCTGAGTATTGTATTGGCTTCAACTCCATGATAGGAAGTCTTACTTGGGCAACATTTGATAGAGAAGACGATCTGTCTTCGTTTTTTCATCATTTAGTGCGACCGTTCTTTCCTCCACCAGATCTTCAAGGTTATTTGCGTATTTCTCCAGCATGTTAATCATGGAATCAATTATACTCACGCTCCTGTGTAATTACAATATACAGAGTATCACAATCATTAGTAATGGTTCTCCGGCAATTACCAAAGTATTTATATTCAAGACCTTCATTAATGTGTGTTCGTGAACAAAGGTAGTGATTTGAAAGAATACAGATTGATGGTACCATTTCTATAACTTCAAGGAAAATTGCTTAGATAATATCATTACTATAATTGAATCTCCATTAATCATAGCATTGGTATTCTGGTATTAATCCAGTGTATTTATCTGTATATGTTTACCGAAATAAATATCCTTGTATGTTACAAAATTAAATACCTTTATTTTCCATATCGCTTTTTTTTGTGTTGTATTTTTTTTTTTTGGGGGGGGGGGGCTTTGTTTTGTTATTTTGACTTAAGTTCTTTCGAGAATATTTCAGTCATGTTGATAGAAAAAAATTAAACCTGTACTCGACAGTTATTGCTGTTGAGGAGTGAGGGTACTACAGCGACACGGGGCCTCTATTTACAATATCTCATCCGAATGACCAGTGTTGGAATTCGAACTTCCAACATAAGGATCGGCACATATATCTGGAATACATAATTTACACTGTTTCTACTTTTCCCTAGTTTTGAATCGATAAATTAGAATTTTATTTAGTAATTTTATAACTTTTAGGATTCTTTTTGTTGTTAAAATAAGTTCTTCCTATCAAAAAAAAGCTTTAATATTAGAATGACTTTCTTAATCTTTATTCGTTTTTCAAAAAAAAAAAAAAAAAAAAAAAAAAAAAAATTAAAGGTTCTTGAGTCTCCCCCTTTTGATTTTAACAATCAAAGCTAGATTGTAGAAGAAAGCTTGCCTTTTGATCTTATGTAGAAATGCTGTTCCTATGAGTTAACTAGTTTGTTTGCTTTATGTTCCTTCGAAATTTTTCACTTATGGTGGGACGCCTTCAGTTGCCAGTGAAAGACTGCAAATCAAGTTTTGTATGCGGTACCAAAGGCCATTAAACATTAAAGGATATTTCACTGCCAGTAACTTCTGCGAAAAGGGGCCTAGGCTTTTATAATCGAAGGACCCGATGGAACAGTACAAGTAATTTACGGATCAACTCCTTACTTCGCGAATCTAAAACGAAACACTCTAACCACTGTTCTAAGTGGGCAATCATGTTTGTCTTGAGATGGAATTATTTAAAAATGATTCACCATTTTTTGATAAAATTTTATATTGAAGTCGTCTGGAGGCTACATTTTGACCACAGTTACCATAATAACACTAGGACGAAACTCTTTCTATTCGTCTATCAGCAGTAGTATTAAATTTTTTAGAATTAATTCAACCTCTTATCATAATCTCAAGCTCCCCTGGAGCAGCCGATAATCTGAAATATTATTTTAATGACCAGGATCGGCTGACGACAGAGTAACATTATTCAGGAATGCTCATTATAACATTTAGCATTAATTATTACTAATGATATACACAGATCACATCATTATATGATTCATTACTCGATTCCATCAAAAGACACCTAAGCTGTTAGGGAAAAAGTATATGGATTACTTACGCCTCAATGTTGTTTTCTCGAATGAAGTTAAGGATTCTATTGAAGTCAGGTCTTTGTCGATGGTCTTCATTCAAACACAATCTCATTAAATTCAACATCTGAGGTTTCACATTTTCAGACTTATTGAGATCAGGCGTGTAAATAACGCCATTACAAATATCCTGTATTATATCTGCAACGAAAATTACAATTATATTGAGTACCAAAAGCTGTGCATGCGTGCGTATGTGTATAAAGTGCGAAGTAGGACAATGAAAGTTAGAACCTAATAAATACCGAAATAGCTATTTTCAAGATTAATTAATGCTAAATAAAATTTTTGATAAATTCCACATGTAAAAGAAATGCCTGGCAGCAAAATAATGAAACATGTCAAGGGGAATGAGTTCCATCAATGATATTTGAAGAATTTACGAGTAAAAAGATTATTTTTTCTGTTCATCTCTTCAGAAATATAAACCACTGCTCTATTATATGTCATTGTCGTTAAAGGTTATGATTATGTTTTCTAGATCAATGAAGCAATAGCTTTCAGGCCTTTCAGAAAGTTTTTACCTGGTCATGACAACAGTTCCCTAATTTTTTTTTCAATCCAATGAAAGATCTGGATTTAATTTTGAGAAATTTACTACATGGACATTGCACTGAGAATGAAGGGGGGGGGGGGTAGTTTGAAAGTAAATAAAGGTAACTTGAAATAAACTTATATTAGAAAAAGATTAAGAAGACTTGATGGTTCCTACTGAACTGAAAATCATAGAAGTTCAAAGGTCGTGAAATTTTTAGAAGTTTAGGCCCTAACGAAGAAAGTTTATCAACTACAGATTAATTCCTCAAATTGTCTCGCATCGCTGTTGGCATCTGATTCTAACAATATTGGGGTCCTGAGTCCACTCGTGGCCATGGGACCCCTGACAAACTTCATTCAATTTTTTTCCGGGCAGCCTTTTCTCAATAAGAAGTACCAATCAACTTTGGGTTTCCATAAATTAACACAAAAAATAAACAGTAAGTAAGCAGTTGACACCTCAATGCACCAGCTTCTCGGGCCTTTCCGGCAAGTAGAAAAAACCTCGATTGCGTTACGTAGGTCCATTACAACCCTCTTTTCATAAACATTTAAATAAATGTAGGGTCTGGAGCTTGCCTTCATTGAATGTAAAGGTACTATCTTAATATACCACAGAAGGGAAAATAAATTCTGTCTATCCAATACTTTATTAAATAGGAAAAGATTCCACTTTGGATAAAATTTTAACATCAAGTGATGTAAATACATTCGAGATATTTTTCCAAGCTTCTCGGAAAGACCCCATAAGATGTCATCCTCAATGCATGTGTTAATAGGTGTTTGTTACCAAAAGTGTTAAAGTCTTAAAGGGGCTGGGATACAGATCTAAAGCTCATACAGTACCAATTTTGATGCACCAGATGCGCATTTCGACAAATTATGTCTCTTCAGTGATGCTCATGAGGAAACGTTGGAAATCCGAAATATTAAATAAAAGAAACTTTATAGAGCAAAACAAAAAGGAATGCCAAAGACTGTAGCCAAATACGTCGAAGGATCAGAGCTTTGTATGAGGGAGATAATCCTTAATCTAAAGCTCATATTTTCTAACATTTTCTAAATAATATCATAATTTACATGTTGCTAGAGCATTTCTCACCGAAATATATTAAAATCGAGTTAAGAAAATTTTTATCTGGAAATTATTAAAAGTAAGATTTTCGGGACGTGTTTGATTGATACATATCCTTGCACTTTAACAAAGTAAACTTTATCCATAATACATGCGTGTACATAGGAAAAGTAGAATTTTTGTTGTGTATTAATGAAAAATATGTAAACCATAATCCAGAAAGTTCAGAGTAGAAATGATAGAAAGCAAAACCAACTCGCTAGTATTGTCAGTCCGTGCTTAGTGATGTTTGCAAACTTGACCAATTGAATACACCCGGTAACACGTAAAAACTAACAATAACAGATACAATAACAATAACAAATACCTGTTAACAAAGTGAAACACAGATGTTTGAAATGATGTAAGGAAGAATGTTGTTGTCATTGAATTCTTAGAATATTCATGGAAGTTCAAATCATTAAACTAAAAAGACGAACTCACCTTATCAAGATATTAGTGCTACCTGCCTGATTCTTACGTGGAATAGTACTTAATAATGTATTACCAATTCTAAAGTCTAGATTTTCTCAGTATAACGAAAACAAACGCTAATAGAGATACCTTTTTGTAGTTTGTACCTTTCAGCTGCAAAAGGCAACCGTCGATTGTAAAAGTAAGACTTCAACAGTTTACTGGACTATGTGCACACTTTTAAATTTCATATGTATTTACATGACATGGCTTTATTTCACTAGTGCAATTACATTGTTCTAAAACAGTTTTCATGTTATATACATTTTTCCCGAACCGCGATCGCAGTGATCAGATTTATATGTAGTAAATGTTGTGTGATTCAATGATGGATGAGAAATAGTTTGAAATACATTCTAGAATTTTGGGGTTTCTTGGTTTATTTATGGACATCTACCCCCACCCCCCAACACACACACACACCCTCACACACACACCCTCACACACACCCTCACACACACACAGAGAGAGAGAGAGAGAGAGAGAGAGAGAGAGAGAGAGAGAGAGAGTTTTATTCTACTGATCATAGAAATTTATTGAAATCCTCATAATGGATAAAATTAAGGAATCTTTAATTGGTATACATAATCCTGAATTACCTTTGTAAGTCTTGCCCGCTACAGGAAATGTTCCACACCTGTAGAATGTCTCATGTAGAATTATCCCGTAACTATATACATCCCCAGCGGGTGTTCCATTTCTTGGCATTATGTCATCGCATTGCAGAATTTCTGGGGAAGTCCACAATAAATCTTTAATGAAAAATATTATGTTCTTAGTATCATTTCCTTTATGAACTATTATGTGAACTTCATTTTTTTTTCAGATTTAAAGTATTCAAATGAATACTCTTTATTTAAGTTGAAAATGAAAGCATTATTATGACAAGTAATATTACTGAACTTAAGGTTCGTGCTTAAAAGAATCTTTAATAGAATTTGGACTTTACACCATTTTATGTGAAAAAACAAACAAAAAAAACAAACAAAAACAAACCTCCTTAATTAAATATCATTATCAAATACTCCATATATATGTATTCATATAATAGACTGAATCATATTGAATCAAATCGACATATTGAAGTTAAATATTCTATACATATATATTAACATGAAACAGACCCGCATTTGTGAATAGGATGGTATATTTTTATTATATACGAATGCAAACTGTCTTCATTTAGTGTTAAGATCTTTGTGCCATGCTTATGCATATATTCATAGTTGTTCATACCTCAGATGTTTATAGTCTATGACAAATATATGTAGATTATGCCACCCAATGATAATATCTGAGTCATCTTTTATTTGAATTTAATTATTACAAGTAATTAACAATACCCTTGAAATCTTCCATCCTTGTAAGGTTTTTCAGTCTCTTTTGGTTGAAGAAAGCTGAAACTCCATAATCTGTGACTCTCACAGTCCATCTGTTGTCAATGATACAGTTGGAACTTTTGAGACTGCCATGTGATTTCAGAATGGAAGAGTGGATGTACTTCATACCCTGAAAAAGAATCGTAATATCAGTATTATAATCTGAATATATCAAATGTTTACTACATGTACATCATGATAATTTTTGTATTTTCTATTTTAAAGTTACTAGACAAAATTGATAAAGCACGATCCTAGAAAATTAATATTTACCTTTTCAAAACTTGTTAAAGCCATACCTGATGTCTAAATATGTTTCCATAGTTAGAATTAAGATTTTTAAATTTCAGACTTATTAAAAAAACTGAGCTCACAATTTTTTAAGGACGAATAAATTTCCATTATCTTTATTGTGTTCTTCATGTTTGCATTTATAAAAACTCAGAAAAAACATGAGCGGATATGCTACATTTGGCCATAAAAAAGCATTGTGTCTTCAGGGTTTTCTTTGAAGGGGTTTAAAAAACAAAAGGCCCATGGGCAACAACATTCACCTGATTAACTAAGGCCCTTCAACAGCATATTTTTTGCCTATTTATTCTTAATAAATAATTTAATCATATATTGTGGCCCTACCTCAATCCCGGAGGTCATGATTACAATAAAACTCGAATCTACACTACCTGAGGAAGCTTCCTCATAAATACATGTATGTCTGATCATGACTCTTCTTGAGAGAAAAGATTTTTAAAGATTTTTCTTATATTTTTTTATGTAAAGCTTGATCACACATTGTGGCTCTACCCTATCCCTGGGAGTCTTAATTTGAACAAAGTGAATATTAACTACCTGAGGATGCTTCCATCTAATTATGACTAATCACGGCTTTGCTGTTTCTGTGAACTTTCTAAAGACTTTTCCTTTCTATTACCGTTATGTAATACTTTGATCGCCCATTGTGGCTCCACCCTACCCCCAGGGTTATGATGTGAACAAATTAAATTTACACTACCCGGTATATAACGAAGCTTTCAAAAAGCTTCATCTTTTCTGGCCGGTGGTTCTTGGGAGATTTTAAAATGAGTTCTATGTAAAACTTTGATCACCATAGTAGCCAAACCTTACCGCCAGGGGTTATGATTTTAACAAACTCTAATCTACAAGATTACACACAACCTGAAGAAGTTTCCATATAAATACGACTACTCATGGCTTTGCTGTTCTAGACAAGAAGATTTTTAAGATTTTTCTATATATTCTTATGTATTGGATTGCCAATTATGGCCCAGCCCTATCCCTGTGGCTCATGATTTGAACAAAATTGAATCTATAATAAAGATGCTTCCATATAATTTTGACTTGTCATGGCTTTACTGTTCTTAAGAAGAAATTTTTAAAAGATTTTTCCGATGAAGTCATGTTAAACTTTGAAAGCCCATCGTTGCCTCACCCTACATAGGAGACATGATTTGAACATATTTGAATGTACACGACCTGAGGATGCTTTGTATAATCGTGGATAATCATGGCTTTGCTGTTCTTGACAAGAACATCTAAAGATTTCTCTATATATTCTTATGTACAACTTTGATCTCCCATTGTGGCTCCACTTTATCCCCGAGGGACTTGATTCGAAGAAACTTAAATCTAAAATACCTGAGGATGCTACCATATAAATATGACTAATCATGGCATTGTTGTATTTGAGAGGAAGATTTTTAAAGTTTTTTTCCCTATATAAACCGTTGTAAAAAATTGATCACCTAGTGTGGCCCCACCCCTCTCTCAGGGATCATGATTTGAACAAATTTGAATGTACACTATGTGACGAAGCTTTCATATGTTTCATCTGTTGCCCAGTGGTTCAAAAGTAGATTTTAAAAAAAATGCTATGACATTTTCACAAATTCTTAATTAAATATTTCCACTAAAAGGAGGGCGTAGTCTTTTATTTTAACAAGCTTTAATTCCCTTTACCCAAGGATGCTTTTAGCACGTTTGGTAGAAATTGGCCCTGTGGTTCTTGAAAAGAGGTCATATATGGGAATGGTTTTTAGACAGACAGACAGACAGACAGACGCACGGACGGACGGACGCCGGACAAAATATGATCCGAAAAGTACACTTGAGTATTCAACTCAAGTGAGCTACAAAATAAAACAAAATAAATATTTTTGCTTCTTCTAGTTGAAAAAGCTGAAGTAGATTAAAAAATATGAATTCAATGTCTTCTTTACGTGAATAGTGGTGCATTAATTAGCAACTTTGTTAAGTGTATTTCTTATAAAATTATAACACTATGGTCATGTAAATGGTTTTCCTACTGTAAAACGATAGAGTAAAATACAGCAAATGCAATCTATAGTGTTGTTACAATAATACAAGAACTAAGAAGCTGGAATGCAAACAATTCACTTTATTTACCATTGCTATGTCTTTTAAGATGCAAATTTTGAAGGTCCATTCTAATTTGATGTCATCATTTTCCAAAACATCCTGTAAAATAATACATAAATTTGGTATCCAAGTAAACATTTATATAAAACAGTCAATCAAACTCACATACGTGTATAATTTTTCTATTGGTCTACCTAAGTAACAATATTAATAGACAGCATAGGAAAAACACCAAAGAAAAATGAATCATGTCCTTTTAAAAATACTTTTTAAATTATACATGTATGTAAGAAAAATCTCAGAAATAAATAAAAAATTCAGACAAACTGAAAGGCGGCAATAAGTGATCAGTCAATCATTATGTCACTAAATGGCAAGTCATTGTGTCACTAAATGGCAAGTCATTATGTCACTAAATGGCAAGTGCCTTTCAGTCATCATTTACATGTCAGTGACCATTCAGCAGATACACGTTATCTTCCAATGATCTCCACTTGAACCTTCTGTTGCCTTTCAGAGACCGTTCGCTAACTTTAGTGGTAAGTCAAAATCCCCTCAGTGGACCTTCAGTGATATATATGAGTTACCTGTAGTGACCATTATCTATTAGATTTAGTAACTTTTAAAAGCTTATCCATGATTCTAATTTGAGTAAGAATAATCAAAGAGAAATTAGGAACTGGTCATTTAACTGTCTGTTCATTATTTACACATATTTGAAGTGTTAGAATTATGAATTTTGATTTTATCTAAATGGTATATGTCTAAATCAATTGAATAATAACTGAGAATTTTGAGCTAACACTCCAGCTGATAAAAAAGTGGATCAATAAATCTTTTTATAAACTGTTGTTTTATTGCCTCAAAAATAGATGAAGAAAAGATCATTCCTACTGAAATAAGGTCGGCCGATTATAATATTTATAAGAATTTATCTGCATAGACATTTACTTTACCTCTTCAAATAAATCTTTTATGAATATTCTTACAAACCAATTTGAATATCTTAATTATAAACAGATGAACTAGTAAATCGTTTACAATTTCTATTTTCAATTCGAAATGATATCATTTCTTGGATATCTTATGTGGGGAATCCTTTTTGCTCATAAAGACCATTTTCCTGAAAAAAGGTGTGTAAGGATCAAGTCGTACTCGTTGTTATTTAAGAAATAAGATATCAATTTTTGAGTTTCAATGGGATATATTTACATTACACATGTATTTTGCTTATAAAATGTGTAGAAAGCTATGGCATTCAAAACACTATAACTCGGACAGGGGGTCAAAAGGTTAAAGTGTGCGTTTTATTCAAGACAAGGAGTTAAAAAATGTAAATATAAGCATTAAATCATTATTTTTTTGAAGGATATAGTCTCATAACTTCAACGGTGTGTGCAAACAAATTTTCATAACGCAGTAACGCGCGTTCCTCAATTTGTTTGCACACACCGTTGCAATTATGAGACTATATCTTTCAAAAAATAATGATTCAATGCTTCAATGACCTGAAGTTAATACGTGATCAAATCTAGTATAACGCCCTTCAGGCGTTATATGATTTCATTACGTGACCATACAAACTCTAACAAATGATATTTTATTTCTTATATTTATGTCGGCCCGAACGAAGTCTGGCGACACAGCTATTGTACGCATGAAAACGTTGTCCTGGGAATTTCTCGCAGATGGCTGGGGCATTGTTGTTGGAACTTTCCATAAAAGATGATGACCATCTGTATATATGTGGAAAAAATTTTCAGTTTCAACATGGCTACCGTTGCCATGGAAACATACGAAATGTGACGAAGTTTGTTAGGGAGTGTTCTTTCTGGTCCTTTGAACATTCATCATGAAACTTTATGGAAATGATGATCAGTAACTGTAGATATGCAATTCGCATTTAAAATTTTCAAATTGTCAATTGTTGCCATGGAAACAGAGGAAAAGTGAAAATTCTTTAACTTCGATTTTCTCAGTAACTGCGCAAGCAATCACTTTGAAACTTTAATGGATGATTCCTTGCATTGTGTCAAAGTGAATTCTATTTTCAAAAAAAACCCCTGGAATTTGTCGAACACAGTTACCAGAAACTAAAAGAAAACTAAACAGAAAAAAGTATTGTGCTCACATATGTTCTCAGAGGTCGCTTGGACAATCTTGATGAAACTTTACAGAAATTATAATTAGAATCTCTAAGTGTGCAGTCAACATTCAAATTTTTCTAAATTCCTACCGTTGTCATTGAAACGGACGAAAAGTGAAAATTCTTTAATTTCTATTTTTCTCAGTAACTACGAAAGCAGTCTTTTGGAAACTTTAAAGGTTTATTCCCTCTTCTGAATCAAATTGTTTTCAAAAAAAAAAAAAAAAAAAAATTGGAGCAGGTCCATCGCTTCGGAACGAAGTTCTTATTTTGGTTCACCTTACTTTTGTACTCGAGCGTTCTCGTAGATGGCTTTCAAAATCTTCATGAAACTTTACAGACATAACAATCACCAACCCTAGTTGTGCATGGGATAATTTATTTATTCTGAAGCCAGGTAGGGAACAAATGATTTAAGAAAAGTCGCGGTCACGTGACCATTGTATGCTATCAGAAGTTTCTTTTTATCAAAGTACTGAAAGGACTGGTACGAGTTGATGGTTTTCCACGCTTTGCTAATGGGTATTGCTTTAGTGATGAAAAAATGAAGTGTCTATTTAGAAACAGAAATTTAAATTTCCATTTATTTCTGATGTCAATTTCATGACATGATGCAATGTATTTTAAAATCCCATTAACAGATATTACTTTATGAAATTATAAGAAAACGATATTTCTTTCTTTTTACAGTATAATAATACAAGTTATACATTTATTGAGCATTGCTGCCTTATTTTAAGAAATGAAATAAACTTGCACAACTATCATAAAATATATTAAAACCACAGTTTTTGACATTCCTGTATGCAGCAAGTATGTTTTTGATAATAGTCGTTTTTCTCTGATAATTTTTGTTCTTGAGTAATGCTTTATTTTCACATGCAGTTTTCAAATAAAATTCTGTTAACTAATTAATGTAAAGTCAAAAAAGTTATTGTACATTTTTACCCCCCCCCCCCTTCCTTACACACACCCGCGCGCGCCTCACTCAGAATAACAACAACATAAAATATTTCTCTTAACCCGAATTCAACCTCTGATCGACTTTAAATCTACTAAAGACTCAAATAAATTTTCATGAAAATGTTCTTGCCTCAATTAGTTAATCGAATTTCTGTACTGATGAACGGAGATATAAAATTTACTCTTGGTAAATCAAGTTTCCCTAATATATGAGTTTATATTCTGCTGCCGTGATGCTTTTTCTGTTGCGTGTGTGTAAATCATCTTATTTTTACGATTACTTCATCTTTATATAAACCACTTGTATTAGTTAAATTATTTCCGGTATCAGTAGTGTCTAAAAACTAGCGATATTATTTCTTCAATACAATCCAATTCTCCGGATATGTTAGTGTTAGTTACATGTATAAACATCTGTGTTCTGATGTATTTCATGTTCATCAATCAGAAATAAAACAAAAGAGAGGTTTTTGAGGAAATCAAAATTTTTATTAATCACCAATCCTGACTGTCAAAACTATTATCCCCGCACAACAAATCCTCCACAATCCAAGAGTCGGTAGTTCAATCCCAGCAACTGGACCATATGTTTTTAAAAGGTTCTTTAAAAACAACAACAAAAGAAAAATACACTTTTAGGCCATTTCTAATAAAGCCAGTTGGGGGCGACATACGCTATTGCTTGCAATAGCAGACTTTCTAGTTATATTTTCATTTGTGTTACAAAAGACTATATTTACATTCCCCATGTAAAGTGTAACGAGAGCTACGGCATTCAAAACACTATAACACGGGCAAGGGGTCAAAAGGTTAAAGTATGCTTTTTATTTTGAAATTTTCATAACGCGGTAACGCGCTCAATTTGTTTGCAAACATCGTTGCAGTTATGAGACTATATCTTTCAAAAAAAAAAAAAATGATTCAATGCTTTATTGCTATTGAAATGCAACGTAACATACATGTACGACGTCATGTGAAGTCACAGTCTAGACTTCCAAATGTCTCGTGCGGTTTGTTTTCCATACGCAAGAAAGTGTTATCACGTGACAACTTCATGTCATTGAAAAATATATACATTTGTGGTATCTCTCTATTATATAAACTTGCAGAGAGCAAATATCTTCATACCTGTATAAAGTCTTTTTAGAGGTCATAGGTCATTACGTGACCTAATCACACGGTGCAATAATATCTACATAAAAAGACTTGCTCTACTTAGCAATTAGCATGCTTTTCATGACTGTATAAGCTGTTGCCATTGTCTCTGTGTCTACATCAAAATAAATATGTCTTACTGAAATAGTAGATACAATGTTTTTTGGTCAAATTTTATAAAGTAAAGCTTGTTTTGAAGTTAACTGGCTCGGACCAGTGTCTCCATCCATACCGAAATTGCTCCAACTTTTTATTATCAAACATTTGTTTCTTGTGCCTTTTCAATATCGAACATCGATTCTTACTCAAACAAAAATTCCATAACAACAATATGCTCACTATAATTATCACAACTAGCCTTTTACAGAATATTCCCTTCAAAACAGAATCCTTTGCCAGATGAATTCGAAGCGTAAACGCTTTTCAAGCCGGTTTACATATTACGTAATTTTGTCATAATCTACGACGGACAGTTAGTGCAATATTTATATTCGATTGTCTAGATCAAATACCTTCGGCCTTCACAGGATTTGATCACGTGACCGACCCACTTCATTTTCTAGTGAAGGTTTTAAACTTGTTATTTATTTCTTAATTGAATGTCTATTTAATTTGAATTGTCATATAAGAAAGAAATTGGCAAATGCAAATAAAAAGTTTTGTTTTCAATGAAACAATTCAAGTCTTATTTTAAATAATATTTAGGTGTGAACGGCTTGGAATAGCTGATGTCATTTTCCGATGTCGCTACTATCGATTTTTAAACGGATAGAGGAAATATCAAGAAGAAATGAGTCTCTGAAAAGTCCATTCGAAAGCACAGGCACTTGGGGGCTGGATACATCCCCCTTTCCATTTTTTTTCCTTTTTACTCTGGGGTTGATACACCTTTTCCCCAATTTTGTATATATACAGTACTTGATATCGATAATGTAACCCTTTAGTCTCAATAAGCTGTTTTTAAAATATATCGTTTTCGACTGACACATAAAAAGAGAGTATTACATATCAGTCGAAAACGATATATTTGAAAACAGCTTATTGACTAAAGGGTTAAATTATCGATATCAGGGGGAAAATGGAAAGGGGGATATCTATATCTAAACATTATCTCAAGCAAGTGGCAGTATCGTAAAATATAAACAAAGAGTGGGAAAAGGAGTACGTCTACACGAATATTTGGATAGCCTCAGCTCTAACATGATATAAGCTGAAAAGTTGAAGATAATGAACAGTGATTGATCTAAAAATATCTACATACAATACAAATCGGACCCCAAAAATTCCAGAGGTGGGATCAGGGGCCTTGGAGAAATAAGCATCCCCTGTCGACCGGTCACACCCGCCATTATTCCTATGTATTTAAACTATTTATCAGGTGGACGTAAACGTTCGTAGTCAAAATTATTATAAAAACGAAGGCTTAACAATTGGTATGAAACACGGCAGCCTATGATAGGTTATATTTGTTTACAAGGTCATTGTAACGACCGTAGAATTACGATATGCTGACTTTATATGAGGTTGTTGAAATCCCTGTTACATCAACTTATCTGTCAGTAGCCTGTCTCGGTTTAAAAAATGATTGTAATCAGAGTATCGTGCTCTAAAGTATCGAATAAGTTGGGATATGTAAACACCATAGACAGGTGATAGCGGAATATTACTACAAAGATAAGGAAAATTGACGATGGAAAAGCCGAAGTCATCCCGTATGTCATACAATTAAGTTGTCAGTTGGTCTTTATCGTCTATCGTCAGTAAAACATCCACTCTCTGATGTCTTTTATTTCATGTTCACTTGGATATATCGAGTCGACATGTGAATGGAAGAAACTATTGTTAATTGTCAAATTTGTCGACACAGCATAACAAAAAAAAAAAAAAAAATAAGAATAATGATAAAATAAAATAATAATAAATTCAGGGTTTGTAAAATACACTCAAATTGTATGCGAGTGTATTCAATATAAAAACAGCTGGGTGGTATGCTACCAAGCGATAAATTATTATACAAAAGAATTATAAAGCATGACCCTGAAGGCAAACAATCTTAAAAGGGAAACAAACGGATAAAAAGGGTTTCATTTTACCTAATAAAGAAAAATCTAGGAAATTATGTACTATCGATTCTGATATGAGGCTTTCCATTCGATACGCATGGGTGAGGCCTTAGTAGTTTTCTTATGCAAAGCTCAGTGACACTGATTTCAATTATACACACATATATATTACATGTCTAGTCTTTTAAGGATTCTTTTTATTGTGATAGCCATAATTATAAAACCCAGTCTTCCTCGCAGAAAACAATATAGAGCGATCAAAGAAATTTAATTAACATCTTCCAGGGTGAAAGACATATTTATGACCATGTAGAAAGCGTAGACTGATGTAATTCATTCCTTCCTTTATATTCGTTGCTTATAATTGATTTAAACAAAAGAATAACTGATTTTTAAAAAAAAAAAAAATAAAGTATGTCAAACATCCTCATAGGAATAATTAGGTCACTATTTAATCATTTATTTTGTGTATTTTTCGTACATAACATTTATTTAACAAATCTTTCTTTATGATATAATAGGGCAACATAAATATAATATAAACATGTAATGGTGTGTGAAACAAAATCCCTCTTAAACTTGAAGGTTCAACTCAGGTACAACTCAGTAACTTAAAATATATATATGTATATGATCCTACTTATGTAAACTGTGATATTAACCTGTAGACTGCCTTTAGTAAATTGTGAAATTAACCTGTAGACTGCCTTTAGTAAATTGTGATATTAACCTGTAGACACCCTTTAGTAAATTGTGATATTAACCTGTAGACTGCCTTTAGTACCATACAGAAACAAGCAGCAGATATTCGGGGAATCAATACAAGCTCCAAGGAAAGGGTTCACATTAGGATGGATAAAATCACGCATCTGAAATAATCAAAACAAAGTTGATCTATGATAAGAATATTCTTGGTTGCAAATACAAGGATTTCATCTCTTATTTGACATCCATGTAAGTTGTAAGTCTGATGTAGACTCCCGATATAGTCCTAGAGGTTAAACACCTACCTCTCTGAGTTCCACCAGATCTGTGCGGGAAAGATGGACCGTCAGAAGAGGACTTTTCTTAAGCGCCACTATCTGACCATTATATTCTGCGGTAAGTGTAAAATTAGGATTATCTGTCCCGTTGCTGCTGCTTCCTGATTCTCCAAAAGATGTCGCACTTTTACTTAGCTGGAAAGTAAGATTGATTAAGCAGCTTCTCTGCCTGACTATGAAGTACATGATCTACATATACTGTAAATCACTTTTTATTCGCGAGTACGTTATTTTCGCGTAATTATGTGAGATAGATTACTTGTGAAAATATCATTCTCGCGTATATTAGTATTCCTAAATATTATATAGAGCAATGACCACAATTCTGGAAAATCTTTTCTCGCTTATAAGAATAAATGTTTATCTCGCAAAAATAAGGTGTCGTGATCTACAGTATCTAAATCAATTGCAGCTTGATGATTCTTTTAAAAAACGCCTCCTAGAAACAAAGCAAATTGCGTTTTTGTTGAAATATAGGAGAAAAAGAAAAATGCGATGGGACCATGGTCACTTCTATGTAAAAATAAACATAACTGATACTCAACATGCTCCATTATTTCTTATAATTTACGATGCGATACCAAAAAATGAAAAATAAGCATGAGAATTCTTAGTCTTGAAAAGTAAAGTTTTCAAATTGGTGTAAGGCAGAAAATAATGAAAATTCCCTCAATACACTAGGTACTTTGCATTTTCTCTGTCAATATTTTGTGAAGATATTATTTGTAATCACTCAAAATTAAAAGGTGAAAAGTATCCAACATTCACTCAAACCAGTTTTCGATTCAGTAAAATTCAGACATTTTATGCGTTCAGTTACTTGCCAATTAATGAACGTTTCTTGTTATATTTTGCAACTTACATAGGTATAGATGATGATAATCTTAAACAATGGGCTATCAATTTTTCTTTTATATGAAGGCAGGTGAAATATGTTATTTAGAGATAAATACTTACATGTAATGGTAGTAATGAGAGAAAAGATAAGGAAAAGGAGTAAAATACAGTGTATAACAAAATGAAAAGTCTTATCTGCTTCTTAGTAGTGCTTCTAATAAATTATTAAGCTTTTCTTTAAAAGAGTTACACATGGATGATGAGAAAAAATTCCAACGGGTTTTGCATGTACAGTGTATATAAACTTTCAAAACTATTCTATGGTATATTCGAGCAACTAATCGTTCATAAGTGAAAGTATGCTAAAGTTTACTAAGGAACCATTTAATAACTCATTCAACCATAGAAAATTTAAAGTTCTTTTTATCTTACCTGACTTCCTATTCCTCGTTTACTAATTTTCATCCCGATTTCAGTAAATTGGACTTTCCATGTCATCTTCAGAATCTGCAGTTCATACTGTTTCTTCCTGTTAAGAGAGACCAAAAGAAGACGTTCATGTCGTACAAAATTATTTTTAATGGCAACAAAGAAATCAATTCCATTTTATTTAGATAAGATGAAGTAAAGGCTAACCGCAGAGCTTGCCAAAACTAAATATTCAAGGCGATTTCCTGGTAAATATAATGTACTGGCCTGATATATGACTGAATATGCTTGTACTGGCCTTGTACATATACATATGCAGACCTGGTGTACTGGCCTTATATATATATATATATATATATATATATATATATATATATATATATATATATATATATATATATATATATATATATATATATAGGGATGTCAACGAGTACCCGGTTAACCGGGTACTCGCTCGAACGTCCGAGTATCAAATACTAAGTACTCGGTTTCTCGGATGTACATTTTTTCATATTTCAAAGTGCATATATTTATTAAAAACTTACCAAAAATGTGATTTAAATACGCATTGTCCATGTCTATACAGTAATTACCGTCACCTTCATCAGTTAATACCCGTAATCGCCTGTGGCTGTGTTCGTGTATATACAGTAATTAATCACTGGACACTGTACACAGCCGTTCTCACCTCTTGTGACCCTAAATTTTGAGATGGCTTTCATTATTTGTTTTCAATGAACATCGTTTAATTATGATCTATTAATTATTCTATGATTATTCAATTAGCATACGGAAACGAAATCGGACATACATAGAAATACCGCTACCAATTCACCAAGCTGTTCAAAAGTGAATAAACATTTATAATTAACCGAAGATTAAAAAAATGTTAAAAGCGTATAGGGTGGAAACAACCATATATTAAAGGAATCACTTTTTATCTGCTGTGCATACCAGGGCATCAACGGCAGTTGGAAACGGGAAATAATTTATGCATATCTGGTGGAGTTGTAAATATCGAGAAATTAACATGCTTAACTTTCAGAGTTATCACAAAGAAAACATTTGCAAACGTAAATAATATTCGACTCGCGATCACGACGGAGTCCATTCCCACTGTTCCCAAAGATATTCTCTCTCGTTAGTCTATAACTAATCATTACAAAGTTGCGTCCTTCTCTTCCGTTGACCAAATAGTCTTCATAAATAAGAACTGTAACGCATTTGTAATTATTGGTGTATTATTTGATCATGTCTTTTGTGTTTGTTTGATAAATAAATTAAGTACCAAAAAAAAATCGTTTTCGTTGGGCTCGATGTTTATGTACAAACTGTACATGCATTATAGCATGTTATAAACGAAAGAAAACATCGATGTGGTAAACAGGTCTCAAACTTTTACATGTATAGACACTTTTTCCGAGTACCCGGGTACTCGATCGGAAAATCGTCCGAGTAACCGATTATCAAATATTGACCGATTTGACATCCCTTATATATATATATATATATATATATATATATATATATATATATATATATATATATATATATAAAATATATATATATATATATATATATATATATATATATATATATATATATATATATATATATATATATATATATATATATAGTCATTGTTCAATTCTCTGAAAAGATCGTGCTTTCTACCTACAATGTATTTGGACGCAATGTCTATCATCTGAAGTTTAATGACATGTGAATGTTCTTTCATAAACTTTAATTTATAGGTGAGTGAGGTTCTACGTCGTCAATTAATGGTATCAAAATTGATATATGTAATTACATGGATGAAGTTTACCTGACAGTGAATATTGCAATCAGAGAGCTGATTATTATGAAGATAACAACAGAGGCAGCGATGACAATATCTATCGTTTGATCTACAATTAAATATCATTGCAAAGACTTTAGCAGAAAATAGTTTTCATTGACTGAAGTTTAATTTTTCGTTGCTTTTATTTTAAATTTTTTTGCAAATTTGAAAATTCAAAAGCTTTAAGAAATATTCTACTTCTCTTTAGACATCATATTGAAAACAAGTGAAGCGATCAAATTACCCGACACAGGAACAAACACCATGTGCATTAATGGCACTTGCTTGTACCATACTGTACATATTAGGGATGGCAAATAATAACATTTAATCTGCAAAATCATCAATGTATCTAACATCTCAGGCATTTTTAATTTTCTTATTCTTTCTTGTCTATCAAAATTGAAAAAAAAAATATTATGTGTAATATTCTGAACAAGCGTAAAAAAGAGTATAACTAATTTTCTTTTGTGTATGAATAGAGCTTACTTGGGAAAATATATTAAGAAAATCTGTATTTTGATATGATTAACCGATTAATCGGTCGGAACAATATGACTTTGTGATTAACCAACTTCCAATTCTATATTCGATTGTCATCCCTAGTATATACTGAAAAACTGTAAAGCTTAAAGGAATCAAAAAAGAAAACACATGCAAATGCCTTATTCAATATCATTCTGAGAAATGGCATAGCATTACCCTTCACATGGGGTGGACAAAATTCATTAGAGAATCCGCACACGGGGGAACTCAGAGGAGGCTTTCCGTCCGCAGTAAACCATAGTGGGTCCTCCCATAAGGACAGCATCTGATCAATAACACGCCCAGTAATGTATACATTTAGGGTTTAAATAAAATTCATATAAAACACAATATAGTGAGTATATACATACTCTTACTGAAATAATAGTATGCTTATATCAGTTGGATTATTATTTTATAGATGACGAATGATAGTAAACTGTACGTCTGAAGCTGTTTTGTAAGTTTCGACGATTGCAAATATTCTCTGATTATCGCCTTCGACTTTTAGATCCTCCAACCAAAATAAGGGTTGCTTGTCTCCATTACCATCGAAGTGAATATACCCACTTGTTCCTTAATTTAAATAAGAATCATAAGACACAACATTTCGTAAAAGTAAATGGTGAATAATATGGAAAATGAATGCTCAATAAATAAAGAAAATGCGGATTAGAATACCCCCTTTCACAGAAAATTAACATAAAAAAAAATTGTGTCCTTTAAATTTGAACTTTAATTCTTAAGTTGAGCGAATTCAGTCTCAATAGAAACTTGCAAAAAAGAGAATTAATGTTTCGATTTAAAATTGCCGTACCACTGTAAGTCAAGTTGTGAGTAAACTCAAACATGCCAATGCCATTTCGGTGGTCAAGTCCGTTATTATGACAATAGTCCCACCAGAGAACAGCAAGGTACATGGAGTCGTGTAAGGCAGCCGCTGCAGATGGTGGCTGAAAACAACAATTTTTTGTACGCAAACAATGTTCAATGATAGCAATCGTATTCAAATAATCATTAATAAAATTTATACATGTAAGTGAAAAACCATACAACAAGATTTTCATCGAGTGCTGTAGAGTCATTCCAAGGTGGCTCTGCCATACGCTGTGGAATCGTTCTCATTAATTCCAAATGTCGAGCTTTGCTACTCTCATCGAACCACCTCGCTGTACTGAACTATCAAGGGTATACAAAACATGGTTTTTAAATAAAAAAATCTACTGTAAACCAATTATTATTCGCATAATCTTTTATTCGCGATTCGTCAGTTTAAAATCAATCCGCGACTCGGAAAACATTCTCTACAAATACTAAGCACAATAAATGGTTCGCGGCGATTGCTATTCGCGAGTAAGTGTAGGACGCAAAAGTCGTGAATATTTCTCGCACGCGAATAAAAGTTGGTTTACAGTATTAAAGGGAGAGTGGTTAATTGTCGTATACTTTTAGTGCTATTTAATAAGATCTTGTATGAATTTGAATATACCGATTTAAGGTATGAAACATTTATGCTAATAAAATTCTCATTAAATCTTTCCGATTAACTGTTCAATATAATCATCTATCTTCAATCATTCTTTAGACATTCTTAGAAGATATACAGTTTGGTTTTATTATTAACAACCGTTCAACTTCGAATAAATGGAAACTCTACTCACATGGATTACATGTCGAAAAGCCTCTCTGGAAATGGCGTCATTGGAATCATTGTTGAACCACGTTCTGTATCGGTACAGCGCATCGTTGGCTGTAAAATTAGGATCTATGAAAACGTAGTCTCCATTTGTCATCCGGGAAGCATGGGCTTGTATCATTATTCTTCGGAAATTGTTGTCTCGGGCGCACATGAATACAACTAGTAATTAAGAGGTAATTAAAGTTTTATTTTTAATTTATGTGTTCCTGTTTAATCAAAGATTCCAAAATAAATTCAGCGATATATGATAAATAGTTTAATATACTTTGTAGAAAGGATAAAGAAATAATCATACTTCTTGCAGATTTCTTTATGTCAAAGAGATAACTATTGATATCGGTCGTCGAAAGGCTCTCTGTGAAACGCTGGTAAAAGGCAATGGTTATCTTATTTTCAGCGGCATTGGAAAGAAAAGCGTTCATCGCACTCAAACATAAACCTACAAAAATTTTAAAAAAATATATTTTTTTTAATAGACAAATTGAATATAGTAAGATTTTTGCAAAACTAAAACTTCACTGCTTTGATGTAATTTTAGTTCTTAAATTTAAATGCAATACACCCCGGTTTTAACAATGACACGAAATCAGTAATTTTTTTGCGCATTAAAATGGATAATTGGGGGCAGATTGGTAAAAATATTTATGGATTTTTTTTTTTTTTGAAAAAGGGGGGAGGGAAAAGAAGTGTTGGCACCCATCCCTCCCATTATTCCTCTGTACTACGACCATGAAAAATAAACAGGGTATTGAAAGAAAATCTTCAGTCATTTTTTTAATTTTCTAAAGAAATAAAATAATAGCCAGCTACTCACTGTAGGATGTTTCGATAAGAACCGCTGTTTTCCGCCAATTGAATTTTGTATACAAAGCTATGGTGGCCAATCCAACCTTATTGAATGTGGTGCGCAGGCGTACAAACGTTTTAAAAATATTCTTTTGGCTAAAGGTTGGATCTGTAGTGCCCCAGCTGATGTGAGGAATGTTATAATATGGCGTCACGTAAGCAGGTCCCATATTTCCTTCAAACACAAAACAACATTTAAACTTCCTTACTTTCAATTTTAATGTAAAGGGAATTTTCTTTCAAAAGAAGGCTACAGTGGATGGTATAATACACGTATACGTTGAATTATTTTATTTTTATTATGATTATTAAATGGCCATTAAATGGAGGAAAAATTGAAACCATGAAATTTGTGATTGTATGGTTTCTGCTAGTTATTAAAAAGTTATCAGCTTTATTACAGCTAATATTGAAGTATAGACTATCAGATTTATTTATTGCATGCAAGTTGTAAAAAACATAATTAGAGAGAGATTTTTCTGAAACCGTAAAGTGTAACTGTAATCTAAACATCGTACCACATTAATTACCATCAACCTAAGAATAAAGAAGATTGAAATAAGAAATCTATATGTTTCTATCTTTATGAACATACGCGTTGACGATGGATGTCCTAGCAACAGGTCAATTTTGTCTTCAGTGACCATTTTTACTACTTCTCCCCCGGTCCGAGACATGTCCTCAACGAATCGTGAAGTCACACTGGTAAAAAATAACATGTAAAATAAGTACGTTGATTAATATCAATTATGCTCAGCATGCTCTTGTATTGATTTCAACATTGTTACCAAAAATACTCTGTCAAAGTTATGTATGACAAAGTGTGTTGATAACATCAGTACAAATTTTTCATCAAAGTACTGAAAGTACCAATGGGAGTTGATTTTCGATTGGAAAGTACAAAACTCGGTTATGTTCATATGGTTTACTTAAAAATAATTAGAAGTTTTTCATTCCAAAAAAAGTAGACTATCAAAGCAGATCATACCTTGATACTTGGTCATTTTTTAAACGTCAGACAAGTGTGATTTGAACTCTAAAATACAATGTCTGGTCTATAATTCTGCAATTGAGTATCTTTGAAAAAGGTCATTACACGGCAATGAAGAAGAATTTATAAGAATGTTCACTGTTTATTTTTTTTTATATAAATTCACGATCATTGGTACAAGTAGATAATAAGAAGTGTAAAAGAACTACGCTCGCTTACTCTCGATTCCCGCCTACATTTTACACCCATTTAATTCAATACTTATGGCAACTTGACCATAAAATCTTTGTTGAATGCAAAGAAGAGTTCAATGGTAATTAATTATAATTTTAATAACAGTGTTAAATAGTTAATTGCTCTTAATTCCAGCTCTTCTTGTAAGGGGGGTAGACGATGTTTTCCATTGCAATCAGACTTGAAAGCATCAGCATATCTTAAAATATTCTTGGATATGGATAAATGTTCTTTAAATCTTTCCTTTAAATTAAACATATGTAATTGATGAAATACAACGTTTAAGTTGTAAACCCCTTCGATGTTTGTCAAAAAATGACCATTGTTGTCGTTTTTTTGTCTGTAAACAAAAGAATTTGTGAAATAACAATCCATATTACCCGTAAAAAGGAATTTTTGTTTCACGGGGGGGGGGGGGGGGGGGAGATGTTTTAAAAATATTTTCCGTTTTCCGTTGATTTCTATTGTGAAAAACACAAGTTTTACCAAAATTATAGAGTTATCTTTCTTTGTTTTCCCAAATAAGTAATGTTTTATGAAAATTCATATAAATATCTATTTAAATATTGAAAATCATTCAAATATGTTAACTTTTGCAAATTGACTTGGAGGTAGGCGGGAGAACAATACTATTGTTCGCAGTTCTTTTATTCAGGTACACATTATCGCAATGGAAAACATTTAATTCTAATTTAACACAAAGGTAACTAGTGACCATAGATTGTCAGATTGTATATTTAATAAACATGTTTATACAAAGATCCAAGAGATGTGAGCTTGGATTAAGCTTCGATTAAAAATTGAACACTGAAATGGAACGTATTAATACAAGATTTTTTATGGGAACATACTTTGGTTCCTCGAGATTGATGAAAAAGACTTTCCGAACCTTCGAAGGTAAATTGAATAGGAGTAGTAACGCATTTTTGATTAATCGCATGCGAATAGGTTTAGCCTGAGTACAGCATCTTTACGATGAATTTTATAAACGCAGAATCACAGAAAACTTTTCTAAATTACATGTACTTCTTGATGGAAACTTGTGTGATTTTTTTTTTTTTTTTTTTTTTTTTTTTTACATATTTTCTCGTGTTCGTTGGGATTTTCTGTGCACGATTATAAAAATCATTCTTTGCACAGTTCTCAGTTGAAGCTATTCATAAATACATAATTTATATATGAGAACAAAATTTTAAACTAATTCTGTCAAAAATAATCCCAAAATATCAAATTCACACTCATTGCGTGTCATTTGCTCAGCAGCAAGTAGATGGACATTTTTATACTAAGTCTTTAATTAACACACACGCGGTTCTAGTATTTAGGCAAACTATAGACGAACAAACATATCATATGATATTTGAACAATAATTTTATTACAGTGACATACACATCAAAATATTTTTTGGGAGGTATAAGTGAAATTATATTCAATCTCCCTAGGCATCAAACAAATCCCACACTCATTGAATTTGTTTAGTGAAATATAAATGTATAAAGATAACGAACAGTATTCAAGCTCAGAAGTCCATGAAACAATACAAAATAGGAGCAGAGCAAACACGGACCTCCAAAACATCAGAGGTGGGATCAGGTGCCATGGAGCCATAGGCTATATAATAATAAATGGCTCGGCTTCTGCGTTCTGTTCAAGAAAATATGTTTTTATCAACTTTTCAATAATTTTAATGATTTTCTTTTTTTCATAATTTAAAAAAAGTCTAAATCCCGATATCTTTCAGGTGTTGAGTCCACTGTAGGTTATATATGTACATATTTATGCAACACTAGGAATATGTGAGAGAGTTCAAAGCTAATTCTACAGTAGATTTGCCTCTGTCGGGAATCATATGTACTTTAAAACTTAAAGGAAACATTATTTTTTAATTTGTATTACTACTGATTAATCTTATTACATCAATGTGTATGCAAGAATTTTTATGAAATCCAACGTGGCATCATTTAAAATTTACACGTTGCTTGATCTGTTGGTGAACAATTTCAGCTTATCTTCGGTTTTCTAATGTCTAATGCATTTTGATTAATGTTTCATGGTAGTTGTTTGGTGGAGTGCTTTTCATACTAGTGAATGAATCAACTTTAAAACAAACAATCGCCTATGACTAAAGCGTGTTGAACACACACATTGCGACATAGCCACAAGGACAAGGGTCCTGATTTCACATTTGCCATGGAAGCTCTGAGAAACTTCATTCGGTTTTTTTTTCGGGCCAGTTTCTCTCATGAGAAGCACAAATCATATTTGGCCTCCTTGAAATTAATTAATTTCCTTGAAATTATTGACCCCCACCCCCCACCCCCCACTTTTGAAACCGCACCAGTCAACTGCTGAAAGACAACGCAGCAAAAATAAATGCAGTCAAGGGTTCTGATTCCACTTGTGGATGCAGGTCTCTTGACAACTCTTAACAAAATGACATATCGTAGGTAACGGGGAATATATGATTTTTTTGTTATATGTTTTTTTTTTATATCAAGGGACGTTAATGAACCTTTAAATACACGTACCTTTAATAATCACTGCTTTGAGCTACCTTGGGTATACTCTGAAGTAACCCTATAGTATTCTTCTGATACAGAGGTTTTATTTTCAGATCAATCTTTAATCATCCGAGATGATGTCGGTTAACCGCCACCTGCGTACTGGTGACGAATGTAATTGATAAAAGGGAATACATGTACCTGATTATCATTCAGAGTATTTATAAATCTCGTTGCAGTTTTTATCAATTGCTGAATGTATGCAAACTATGACCCACGCTATGCCCAAAGTGATCATGACTTAATCGAACTTGAATCCACACTACATACATATAAGAATTCTGTATATAAATAGTCTAATGTGGCCTTGCTTTCTGCAGAAGAATTTGAAAAGATTTTCTTTTATATAAAGATATTATGTAAAGGATCCATAGTTTCGATCCTTGACACAATACCTCCGACTCAATAATTTAAAAGAAATCAACTGTCATAATTAACAGACCTATTTGTCAATTCAATTCAATCCCAAAGTTTCTAATAAAATTCGTAGGTAATAGGGAATATATGTTATGAAATATTTTGCAAGCATATCAGTCAACAATCATCTTAAATTTCCTGACAAATAAGGTTTAGAATATAAGTAAAAATGAAAAAATAGAAGATAACGGACAGTGATCAAACTAAAAAAAAAATCTATAAACAATACACATACGTGAAGAACATGAAAAACGGACCCCTGGAAATTTCAGAGGTAGGATTAGATGCCTAGGAAGAAGAAGTATCCCCTGTTGATCGGTCATTACTGCCATGTGCTCTGCTCTATGTATCGATCAGGTAGACAGAACATTA